CGGCTCCTGCTCATCCTTATTCTGCATTAAGAATGTTATCCGCTACCTTCAGCACCGACCCCTTCAAGCGCTTCCTTAAACTATTTCTTCTACCACCCTGGCGCCAGCATGGCAGCTGTCGACGCCGAAATAATGGAGCTGCACAAGGACAATGTCTACAGTCATCAGACAATCTTCCACGACGCTAGCTCTTCAGAGCGGGAGCCCACGGTTCTAATGACGACATAAGCTGCCTCCTCGGTCAATCCTTTCGCAAGGCGAGATCTGAAGCGAATCGTCAAGCAGAGGGCAAAATCCATCGGCACAGTCCGTCTTCAACGTGCTGGTGCAGCACACCCGTCAAAAAAAGTTCGAGCCGTACTTCATGCAATAGAGCTGGATGGCTCTCCCCTTGCACCGGTGTAGTCCAGACATTGCTCTTTCTGACTGCTAGTCGCCTCCCGTATTCAACCGTTATACAGCCGAGAAAACCTCCACGACTTGAGCCCAAGTCAAAGTTGAGATGATGTCCAACTTTGCGTCGCGCCGGCGTGCATTGTTAAGCGATGGCATCCACGAACTGTCCAAAAACTGGCAAGGATCTCTCAATAACATTGCTGTATAATTTTGATCTTTGTAAAAAGAAAGTCTAATTTGAAAAAAATGTGACAGAACTTTCCCGCCAACCTAATATGTTCCACTTTTTTCTCATGGTTCAATAACGCGTAGACGTCCAACGTTTCAGCAGATATTATCATCAATTTCAGCTGCTTCAGCTGTAATCACTTTCTGAGCCGGATAAAAATGTTCTTCGATGCATCGGATTCAACGGACAGTGATTTCGGAAATGCAGGTAAAGCTTAGAATTATGAATGGACAAGAGAATAAACTCATGGAACATACTTGGAAAATGGAATCCAGAGCTCTTCGTGCGCAGCATGCTGTCAAGCAGTCATTTAGAATCAGCCTGCTGTGGCAGAACACATCGAAGTAGAGAATATGCATGAAAATCCAGGGGAATCAGCCCTACAGCTCCCGCTATATTTTAACTCAAGGTAGGCACGTCGCGGATTAGATCTCGATCGAATACTAGAAGAATTCCTCGACTTGAAAGCACTTACTGAATCATTTAGATTAGCAGCTGTAAAAGGAAACTAGGCACAATTCCACTCGGAGGGCATTCTCGTATTCTCTTATTCCATTCATGCGAATTTTACGATGCTTGATGACTGATGCCATTTTCAATTTAAAAGCCCATATTAGCATCTGTTTTTTATCTGTTGTTTACAAGAACCAGCCACGAGATGAGTCACTTTTTTGAAAATGGTGTAGCCGAATCAAGAAGTTACAGAAACCCAAGCTTCTCGTAAAGGTTTGACCACATGTTTTAGCGAGCCCGACTCGATTTTCGTGAGTTTCTTGCCAACAACAGTACCAGTCTCAATTTCCAGCGGAGGATAAACTTGGACATTCTCAAGCAATGCTGTACAGCATTAATCTACGCATTGAGAATTGAAAAAAATTTTCATTCCTCACCCTTAGCACGATTCGATAGCATCAGAGTTCTCCCCTATGATGCGATTTCAAAATATAGTTAAATAGTAAAGAACAACGTAAAGGGCTCGATAGTATACGGGAAATCAAAGAGTCGTGGATGCTCAGATTCTTTGGTGCTCGGTATACAGAATTCATTAGGATGTTTCGAGCAACTAAGTTATTTCAGCCTAAATTTTTTGCTCTTTGACACTTTCTTCGCCGTTGATCAATCCTTTTTGAGTTGCAGCACGCATTCGACTTCTGCCCAAAATCGTAGTAGCTATCGATTACGATGTGCCCTATAATGACCTGCGGAAACCAGCCGATGTTTAGTGCTCGTAGTGTGTGTTTGAAAAACGGCAAAAAATGCCAATCCGCATTTTTCTTCGTTTTTTTTTGCTATAGCGTTGTTCTTGCTAAATTTTTCTATGGAAAGCGATAATGGTCACAATCAAGTGGTCACAATGCATAGATGGTGCCCCTACATTCAGAAAAACCTTCCAATAATAATGTGAATTGGTCCTTTGTACATCTCAGCAGATGTTTCAGCGGGAGGACTCGAGGGTGCCGG